CTCCTCCTCCTCCTCCTCCTCCTCCAGGCTTCAGTTTCTCTGTGAAGGGACCTGGGGGACAAGAATGAGGCATGGGTGGTCACCTCTGCAGAGATGGACCTTTGGCATCAAGCAGGGGTGAGCAGCCTGCTGTGTGGACTTCACCCCATGCCATGCCTGTCTCCTTGGCACTCTGGGAGGCTGAGGCAGGAGGATTGCAATTTGGGACCCAGCCTGAGCCACTGAGAGCTGAAATGAGACCCTTGGTCACAGTAAAATGGGCTGGGAACTTAGCTGCAAGGCAATGCTCTGGATCATTTGCTAGTATTGGGAAGGAAAGAAAGAAGGGAGGAAGGAAGGAAGGGAGAGAGGGAGGGAGGGAAGGTGGGAGGGCACAGAGATGGCCATGGGGACAGCTTGGGCAGGACTAGGCCACCCCAGGACCCTGCCAAGGATGGCCTGGGCCCGGAGGAGCAGAGAAGCTCCCTTGGAGCCACAGCAAGTTTCTGAAAAAACATTTATTGCTCTTGGGCCCTCCCCCACTCCCCCGAAGCTTGGCAAGGAGGCTGGCTACTGCCCTCAGCCCTGTGGTGGGGGTCCTGGGCCAGCCAGGGCGCGCGGGCCCAGAAGCGCTGTGGGGTCAGATCGGCCCTGCGGCTGTTGAGCTCAGAGGCAAAGGTCCTGGCCTTCTGGTAGAAGAACAGGGACATCTCGCGGTCTACCAGGAAGTGGTGGTAGATGGTGGCCAGCCGCGTGTAGATCTTCAGCTGTGCCCGCTTGTGGCCCAGGTCCACGGCGGCCGCCAGCGCCAGCTGGTAGTACCCGGCTGCATCGAAGGGATCCTAAGGGTGGGGGAGGCAGCCTTAACAGTGCATCTTCTAAGCAGCAGGCACAGCGGGGACATGGGGACGTTCCCCAGGACAGCCCCACTGTCCACTGCATACTGGGGCTCCCACTGTCTCCACTGCCCATGATGCTTTGAGGATGTCCGGTAGCTTGGTTCCAGGCCTGAACCCCGACTGCCCCCAAGTCAGGGGCTGCTCCCTGTGGGTCCTGCTGCACATTTCTCAGCTTCCCGTGCTCCCTGTCTGCGGGGCCTTTGCTGTCTCCTTTGGGTGCAGGGCTGGCTGACTGTGGGGGCGCCCAGGCGCAGGCTGTGGGTGGGCTGTGAGCCACCCAGGCATCCTGGGGCAATGTGGATACCTGCACCCATGGCCCAAGCCTCCCTTGCAGGCCCAGCAAGAGCACCTCATGCAGGCATTGTCCCTGGGTTTCTCCTGGGAATCCCAGGTGGGCTGTGATACCCTTTCCCCTCCATACTCCATCACAGACACAACTGCACCTCAAGCCTATGTCC